TTGGGCATAACTTAGTCTCATGGGTTCTAACGATATATTAAAAAATGGTAGATACAGTCCCGTTTGCAATGTTTGCCTTTTTAAATGTCTTAGATGACTGGCCTACTAATCACACGAATAACTTTTCATAGATACATTCTATATGTACTGATTTTTAGTTGTACTGCAAATAACGCGCTGAAAGACTTATACTTATACCTACACTAATATAAATATTTGATATTAAATATCAAATAATCAGCTATGTTTTACAACACAACATACCAGTGAAATTGGAAATTTTTAATAACCTTTGGACCTTTTTTTAAACAAATTTGCATCTTTAAAACAAAATTTAATTACATAAATATATTAAACTCGTAAAAACCAGTCTATATATCAATCTAATAAGATAACATTTTCCGTTTATTACACACATCATATATTTTTCAATCTTTTTGCTGAAAGAAAAAAATGTTAAACAGTTTATTCACTTCTTTTTGAACTAATTTATTAGTTATTTTGGCTACAGAATCGCGAAAAAAACAAAATAAAAAATGATTTAGGAATAATTTTCCTTCCTATATTGAACCAACAGTATTTTATTGTATTTTGGAAAACAAACAGTATATTTAGTCGATTTTTCTGGAAAAAAGGTGATTTTAAACAGTCCGCTTGTCTGAAGCCCAGTAAATAATATATCTGTTTTTCCCGATAACGGATCTGAAAAATAAAACGTCGTTTCGATTTACGTATGTAAACCTTTGTGTTTTGTTTTTACAACAAACGTCAGTGAGGTTGAGTTTCAGTTCCGGATATTGTATTAAAGAATTGTGAAAAACAACAATGACAGAGAAGATTAAAAAAATGAATTTGAATCTAAAACTTCTGGTGTATACATTTTTATACCACTTAATGGTTATATAAAAATAGCAACTCTCTTTATTTTGGAAAAATGACATCCTGTCTTTACACAACATTTTTTTTCTGCATATACCTTTTTAAGTAAGATACCATAATACCATGTCAAAGTAAGAGGGATTAAAAACTATCGTGTGTCCCCCATTTTGAGTTATAACTCTATACGGTGCATACACTAATGACATGTACTAGAGATAGATTGGATATACTGATATCATATATATACTAACTAACTATATTGACTCCAAACTGCATTCTGTGAAGCCGAGCCGGTGAAATGGGTATATAAATCTTCTGAAGGAATTTGCATAAGTCGCTCAGTTAGCGGAGCACAAGCGTAGTGCGCAAGACTGGATTTTGAATTATCGATCGGATCACCAGACCAATAAGAGACTAGACGCTAGCACCAGCTGTACATTCGTACGGCTCCGTCCAACTTCGTACGGCTTTCGTTTGCGTTCCCGTTCGACAATTGGCTAATCCTCAGAGCAAGGGCTAATCGATATTCGGAATTTTGGAGTTGCGCTGTTGCGCCAGTGTCTCGCTAACAGATGAACTTATGTGAAATATACATGAACCGGTTATCTAGTTGTCTCTAACTCGGCTTCAACTCCAACACATTGCAGAGATAGGCGATAATCAGTATATATTTGATATGTATATGACTGATATAAAACAAATAGGTCGGTCGCGTCGCGTCGTTTAGATCCACCTGGTGATCCGGAAGAAACTAATAGAGAGTTTTGGCATACCATAATCTTAGCTTTCCGTTATTTATTAACGATAACTAAAACGGTAACGTTATTCAAGCCCAAAATTATTCCTTGTAAAATATAATATAATACATATAAAGTTTTTTACCACCATTTTATGTTTTATTAGATCATTAGAAGTATAACATAGTCAAAACAAAAATAAAATTATGTATACATACATTTTAAACACCTACAATAGAGCACATAGCGACTATTTTTATTTTGATTTAACAAATAAATTATAATATAGTAAAAGTATTATACCGGGTGTGTCTCAAAAGTGGTTTACCCCATAAGTTTTTTATATTCTCATATAAAAAAAACGAGATTTGGTATGTTAGTATAAGACATAAATTAGGATTGATTGACGTATTCAATTGTTTTCGGTCACTTCCTGTTTCACCGAAAATGACTACAACTTTCGGTTTTTGAATGGCACCCTCGGTATTTTTTTACTTTACTCTGAATCGAATGACATATCATATGTTTGAGACGCTCCCCGTATACTACTAATTAACTGTTACTAAAATATTATATTATTCTATTACCAACTATTTTGTAAGTTTAGTCAAAACATCGTAAGAAAAATATTGATAATTCACAGAGACACAGTTAGTGAGACTTTCTGAAGAAGGAAAAATTGAACTTTTCCTTCATAGAATTCTCTAGATAGACAACTATAATAATATTTTATACATATCATACTCATACTCATCTACTATTTATATTTGGTGGAATTTTACTACAAAAATGATTAGTTATAATCCTAATCACGACCATATAGATATGAAACCGGGAATTTTGGCGTAGTATATGTAATCAAAATAAAAACCTCCTCGTAATTTAGGTCAGGACCGTAGTACATTTTACGGGATCATAAAATATGAGCTGGTTGATAACGGTGATAAAGTCTAATTTTTTTAATACTCCTGTAAATATAGACAAGGAGATCGATTTTAATATAGCCATGATCTTGTGATTTCTGCAAAAAACTACGTTGTATTAAATTGGTACTACGGCGTAGTAAATGGCTATAATATTGCATTTTTGAGGAACTGATTATTTTACCACCTTTATGAATCATTGTTATAGGAATTTTTGAAATGTTTCAAGTAGATTAATAAAAACATAAATATTTTTGTAGTTTCTGGTATTAACAACTCTATGTTTTATTAAAGCCTCATTCAGAACCTCGAAATTAGTGGATAAATTAGTTGGCAATGTCAAATTCAAAATACAATTAAAATTAATAGACTGCACTAGCAACAGCTTGCAGTAGAGAGTTGTATCCATAGAGAAAACCTAATAATTAGCTATAAAACAATAAACTTTTCATTTTTAACCAGAATTTTTGTTGACGGGAAGGCCAAAGGCTAAAATGACATTAGTTGCAAATTATGAAGAATAGTTAGTGAGAAAAATTAAAAATTTATTAACTTTTTCTATTAGTTGAAATTTACTACCACTAATTTTAACTTCTAAATGCTTAAGTACATTGAAATTAGAGGAACTATATAATTAGCTAAGTGAAACTACTAATTTGGTACACTAATTAGGATAAAGTTCAGAAAAAAATATAACTTTACTTTTTTTAATGCAACATCCTGTTTATTTTAATTTATTTTGAAAGATCGTTTTCTTCCGATTTCAAATATATCAGTTTGTCTAGTATTTGCACGAACCGTTTTTGTGTGTATTATTATTTTGATTTATGCAGTGTAATTGGCTAGATACCACACAAAATGCATAGTGTGCTTTGGAGACCATATACAGTATGTCCCCGGATTGTCTTTACAAGAGGAAAAACTTTTTTATTTATAAAATTTTTTTATTATTGATCTTAAAAATTTTGCTTGTTCTAAAATGCTTAATCTCGTTTATTATTATATATCTTTGTGACCATTTTTGTTTCTTTATAAATTTCTTTTGTAGAATTTCTGATCAAATTTAAAAAAAACTATTTAATTGCCCCACCAATTTAAACGAAATGTATGACAATTAGATAATTATATGACTAATAAAGTACCTAATAAATTTAATACAATATAATAGTAATACTACAGTGATACAATATAATGTTACTGTAATATTACTATTCACGCACATGCCTCATGTGCTTGTTTGCGTTTGGTGCATCTTGGCTTCGAATAAACCGTAGGTGATTGATACGCTTCTGTAAAACAATGACCAAACAAATTCACTTTTCCAGAATTTCAATTTTCCTGAATTTTTTTCAAATTCCACTTTTCCAGAATTTGTCCATTAAACCCAATTTCAGCAATTAAATTTGTTTCTTTAAATTTCAAAGTTGACAAATACCCGAGAGCAACAAGCAACAAGTTAAGTTTCATTGTAATTTCAATCGAATTGATTTTCAAATTTCGTCTAAATTTTCAATTGACAAATTCAAATTTCGTCTAAATCAGTTATTAAAAAAATATGATGCTGATTTCATTTGTGACACTGTTGAGAGCGGTATTCAATATTATCTCTATGGCAGTTCTTACATGAGATATTTCAAGATTTTTGAAATATGTACGTTTTTTAGTTCTCTCGATAATTTAGTAACATATAATTTCCACCCATTTGTTGCGAACTGTTTGACGGATAATATTTACTAGGGTTAATAACCTAGAATCAGAAAACGCATAGTGTACAGTACAAAAATTAACCGAAATTATTATACTTTCATTAAAACGGGCAACAGCGTTGGGCCCAACCTCCGTGTCCGTCACAATCGCCGTCTGTACTTCCCCTCTCGTCTCACCTTAATCGACTCCCCTTATGCCATTGTCTCCCCCCGCCCCCACCAACCCTCTCTTACGCGCTCCCCTTACTACGAGTAACCGCCAACCAGTATATAGACAGTCTACGACGTCACGAACGTGTATAGTTTAAATATCGACTTCGCAAGCCGCTGGCGCTAGTTTCGTTCCGTTAGCGACAGAGTGATCAGTTCTCTCACTTATATCTTTCGGTCGAGAATAGTATGGCCAGAAGTTTCCGTTTGGCTATATCGTTGGCTATCTTCCGACGCAAGTTTGATGACTTTTAGTCAAAACAACCCAAGCAAACAAAACAAAAGTGATCGTATTCTAGTCAACTGAAATCGCGAAAGTGCGTACTGTATCCTAAACTTTCAACCCAGTTACCAAAGAAACATTACTATTTAAGCACCCCCACCTGAGAGTGATCTGTGATACTACAACTTAACCTTAGATTTAATAAGAGAATCTCTTTGAACGGCCTCAAAATAGCTATCTTCGGGTTCAGAAAAACGAACGCCACCGAATCTAAGATGGTGGGTTCAAACGGCACAATGATTGCTATTCGTCTTGTTCGCAGCAAGCTGAGGAAGAGGGAGGAACACTCCAACACTGTCCACCCCGTACCTGAGGCTACCACGACGGTGGTTCTGCAACCTACCACGGTGACGACCACTGCACCTTCCACCAATGGAACGAATTCGGCTGGTGTCAATGCTGGACAGTTGCAGAAGGTGGAGAGTACGGATCCTTTGGCTTACCGAGGACAGTTCCTATGGCAATTTCCACCACAGCCCGCTGAAAGGTGTTTGTACAATAACGAACAGGTCAGTCTCCATTTTGCTTCTTTTTCTTTGTTTGTAAGATTTAGAGTCTTTGGATGGAGTACCAAAATGATTAGGACAAGCAAAAGATCTTTTAGTACCACTTTCACACAAACAAGACCTCTATAACCGATGGTGGTTTGAATTTAATGCCAAACCAGACTCCAGAGTGTAGAGATTAGTTTGTATCAAAATTTACATAAGAATCATTCAAAATTAGATAAATTCTTCAAATTGGACAGTATTTTTTTGTGAGACTATATCTGGAAATATGTAAGAATACCAATTTCTTACACATATCCACACATATCAACTAAAAGATCTTTTATTACAAATATTCCACAACACCTTTTACAGTTAATCTCCTCAAATTTTGCTTAGTTACCAATGGACAGAACTTTTCAGTAAATATTGTATATTTGGTATCTAGTTCGGTTGAGTTCAATGCCAAACAAACAGCATACACCAAACCAAACACCAGAGTATAATTCTACAAAAATAATGTTCATTTAGTAGAAATTGGACACATTAGAGAGGTTTGCATCAAAATTTACTTACCTATCAACAAAAATTAGCTAAATCTTCAAACTACAGGTTCTCTGTTTTTTAATGAAATTGTGTAAGAAATTGGCGATTTGAATAGAGTAGCAAAAAGTTTGGACACACTAGGATATAGTTTCACAGAAATTTATCACCTTGCTATTGTATCCATCTTTTCTGAAACTTTAGAAGTAACCTTCATAAAAAAAATTGAAATCTTTTGTAAAACAACATTCGTCTTTAGAATATCTTTTAATAATTTACTCATTACCTAATACAACATTTTTATAATAACACAGGAAGATGAAATATGGATAGGTTCAGTTCTTATGAAGAGCAGCTTGTGAAGAAGAACTAGATATGAAAGGTCCAGAGGATAAACAATACAAGCGCCATTTTTTTAAATTTACCGTTTTAAATATTACTGTAGGTCTAACTGGTCCCTACAAAATCCTATGATATATGCCTAGTAAAAATATACATAGAGAGAAAGAACCTGATAACTACCAGCCGTCCAAGGCTCGTCTGGACCGTTCATATTTTTTATCCATATTATATTAAAATATTTGTCATTAAGTTTGAGAGCGTTTTTGAAACATCCTTTCCCAGATTAAATGTTTCATCTCTCACCACAACTAGAAATATAATACTTTTCTATTTAGATATTAAGTTATACCATAAAGTTTTCTCACATTAAAAGTTCTGATCGAAGTTTCGAAACATAAATACAAGCTTACATAAAAATGAAAAGACCTTGAATATAATTCATCATTAATCTATATTTAATAGCCATCAAATAAAACGTGTACCAAGTTCAAAACCACATTAATATCTCCAAAACATGTCTGTTTTGGACACTTGTTGAGCACGAATACTTCAAATGAATTCAGTACAAATAGAGAACGCTTTAATAAATAACTAATATGTTTTCAAATTCGAGAAAATCTCCGAGCAACCTAACTGACCTATGTATTTTAATCAATTTTGTAATAGGATTTTTTTTTAACTTATCCTTGATAATATTACTTACAACACCTTGAACAGAAACAATACATTTAGTTTTTTTTTGTATTCCTAAAAATAAAACGACCTTTCATACAACTTATTGTTGGCTATCGGACATCTTTTCACAGCTCTCTAGAGTAAAAAGGATCTTGAAAAGCACGAATAAACATTTTTTGAAATATTACCGAATATAAATCGGCTAGCCTACGAAAAGATGGTCTAAATTTAAGTTTGTTTATCCAGTGTTGTAATAGAAAATCTAAGTTTAGCTTGGGATCAATCTATTTTAGGATTACGAAAGTCAGACTCCAATAAATTTGTTTTTTTTCTCTGAAAAAAGAAAGAAGAAATGCATAAAAATTACTTGATTTGTGTTTTGAATGACCTGAATTTGATGGATTTGATTTCATCACGTTTTTTGAGTCATTTCTGTACGTTCTAGATTCAGAAAAGTGACCTAGATTTAATAAAAATACAAATTAGGACTCCCAATTGAAGAACATTTTAACATTTTCATGTACTGTAACATCTAGAGATGTTACGTAACATCGAGAGACATTGAATTAAGTAAAAAAAGTTGTTGAAAGATAAGAATTAAGGTTAATCTAGTTCCATTTCTTTATACTACATGATGGAAGTTTCAGTTTGTTGTATATTATCTATGCCTTGAGCTTGACGTAAAAAACTAAACGTTCCGTAGATAAGTTGGGATTTTTTAAAGGTAAAATCACTCACGTTTTATTTTTTACCGATAAACTCGTTGATGTGCGTTGAAAAAACTAAAAATAACTTTTATCGTGTAAATTTCCCCAATATTCAAACAAACAGGTACTTACAGCTTTTTATTGCAAGCTAGTGGCCAAGAATTATCAAAATTATCAAGTTTTTTGAAGGAATTGGACTTTTTTAATGATAATGAACAAACCAAAAGACCCCGTTGTATAATGTACCAACAACGTTACATGATGCAATAGGCATAGAACACAAAGAGTTCAAATTGACTAGGAAGCCATCCACAATCCATAACAAAACACGATTATTTTAGAAACAGCTGATCTGGCGCACCCTGTACAAGGCTCGGCCATGCGAGCCGAGCGTGCCGTCCCACAAACCAGACATATACATATGTGTGGTATTAAAATTTCAAGGAAATAACCGTTACAACATTTAAATTGGCTGGTTGTAAAGTCGATGAGGTCGCCGCCAGTACCCAGTACTGCTGCAATTCACGCTGGGTACTTTATATTCATCGATATATTTTCGAAAGAATCGTTTTATAAATTCAAAAAAAAAATGTTATTAAATTTTAATATTTTTTGATGACCTGGACACTTAAAACGGACATCATAAGGAAACTGCAGGTCGCACATTTCTCAATGGAACGAAATATGCTGGGAATAACCAAGAGAGACCGTAAAAGAATAGAGTGGATACGACAAAAGACCCAGGTAATAGATGTCATCCACAGAGTAAAATCCCTCAAATGACAATGAGCAGGACACCTGGCAAGAAGAACCGACAGCAGATGGACCACAAAAATTACAGCATGGTACCCATGGGGAATTAAGAGACCTAGAGGAAGACTGAACCTGAGATGGGACCATGATATTAGGAAATTAGCAGGGATAACTTGGGCCCACAATGGGCCCAACTACAAAGAGAGTATGTGAGGGAAGCTACACCATAATTGGAGATGGTTGAATGATGATGGTGATGAATATGCTACAGTGATAGTCTTAATAGACTTGTGTAAGTGATAATAGGCAAGTCTTAAAACGTTTTATGATATATTTTAACAAAATATTAGAGCCCAGTTCTTAAAATAAAGGAAAAAAAACACATTTTTAATCATAGTAATCACCATAATAGGTTTAAGTGACTATAATAGAACGAAAAAAACATTTTTTCTGACTTTAAGTCTACAAAATCGATGAAAAAATCGAAGATTTCTATTTTAGCCCGGCGTGAATGTGTCGGTTTCAAATGGGAACGAGGAGAGTGGGCATTTTGCAACCGTTGACATAATAATAATGATAACAATAATGGCGGCGTGCGAAAAAATTTCACTTTATTCCAATCGAAAAAGACCCCATTTTATTGAACACGGCAAAAGAAAGAACTTGGATGCGGAGAAAGTAGGCCATGATTCAGTTTTTCGGCTGGCGCCATTTTTAATCTTATTTATTATTGTTTTTTCCTTAAAGAAATGCAGTTCCGTCCCTATATTTAAACGGCTTTTTTATATTTTTGATTAAAATTGTTTCGCAAGCTTTCTTTTTGAACTTTCTGAACTGTAAGTGTAAGAAAAAGTTTCCCAATAAATTCTCACCACGTTTTTGATAAAAATTTTTATCACATCCGTTAGTGATGACCACAGAATGATATCGTGGTTCACAGTGGCCAGTCGGAAGATATATTTTTTAAGATAACATTCGTTATACAAAAAATTCAGTACATTTTACTAGATGGATTGTTATTTCAGTAATCTTAAGTTATTCTTAATTATTTTGTCCTTTTTCATCATTTTTATTATTGAATATTTGAAAAGGGCTACTGACTTTTTCTATTGAACCATCACTGACTTTTTTACAACATGAATATTTCAAAACTTTAAAATTCGAAACAGACGTAATATTTCAAAAGGGCCTAGAAAAATTGCCTGTCACACTAGACAAATCCCAGATTGCCTGAGAAAAATACACAACGCTTTGTATGCTTTTCGACCCTTGTCTGAAATGACAACGAAAAAGGACGGTTACAGCAAAAATATGGGAGAAAGAAAACCAGAAATATCTGGAACGCTTCACAGAATCCGCCACCTTGTGCCTTTTTCGAACTATAATAGCTGTATAATGGTTTCTCGTCTAGAGCGTGTATTCCCAACCCTCGTTTGAGCTTAGATCAATAACCCCGACGCTACAGTGGCGTACACAAACTAAAACGGAAACTGTATTTTACTTCGGATGTCATTAAATTGGATTTTATAACCGTTAGAATTATACAAACACTTTTGTTTAACTCAGTTTATTATTTGGGGTTGATTTTTTTCTTATTCGGCGTTTAAAACATGTAACAGAAAAGGAATTCGAGTTTTCAAATGTCAAATTTAAGTTATCTAACCTCATGAAGTAATAAAAATAAGTCTGTATTACATTATAACCATCATATTATTAAAATTATTGATAATACTCTTTTATATTAGGTTAAATAATGGTTCAATACTGTTTTTCCTCAATTTTTGCTTCGATTTTGATGAAAAAGACACTGAAAAACCAACAAAATATCAGTATCTAATGCCGGGTCCAGACCAAGCAGACAAAATAGCGACAAGACAGAAACATTCATGTTTTACGACAAATCCAAAACATTTCTGCGACATTTTTGTCTTGTTTTTGTCTCAAAATCGTGTTTACTTTTGGTCGCCTTGGTCTGGACCCGGCATAACATAACTATGCATTTTCTTCGATCAAAATTTCAATAATATCAATTTTAAATTAAAGGAACCACGTGTTATCTCATTTTGCCATAAATTTTCGGGGAACAAATTAAGAAATCGGGGCTATAATAGTGCCGCTACTGACTTCCCCGTCTATATACATATATACGCATGCCGATGACCCTTGTTTCATCTGGTTATCCCGAGATCTAACAGAAACAGAGACCAATGCTTCCTAACGATGCCTGAGATCGAGTAACCTGGTCTTTTCTTTTTTCTTCTTCTTCTTCCTCGAGACTTGGCGGTCTTCGGCCATTTTTTCTCTTTTTTTTTTCGTCGGAGTTAATGACATCGTCTAAAATGGTTGCCAAGTTGGTAGATGTCGTCTATACGTGGATTCAGAGCACACAAAACTTTAAGTATTATTACTATGCAATTAAAATATTATTTTTTAATGAAAACCTCATATTCATCACCAGTTTCCGATATTTGTAACACAACTTCGAAGGAACGAATGAGTGATTCAGAAGTGACAAACGACATCTATATTTTACTGCATTTGAAGGTTCGCATGTCAAAATGTAATACTTGTTTGATCAAAAAAAGGCGTCCAGTTGGCTTCAAGATGACGATCAGTGACATTTCTCATATAATTTTACATATAAAATGACAGCGATCTTCATTGCATAGCTATCACTAATACCGTTTTATTTCGATGATATTGTAATATTTATATTTCGATATATATTGTAGTATTCAAACCTCCGAGGAAAGATTTCATTAATGTCTCGAGTTTTTTGTTACTGAGACATGTATTGAACTAATGATCTAAACTACTAATATTAACTAACAGTATCCTAAATTAAGCGACTTTTATAACATTACGAACCTTGATATCACGTTAAGGTCATGATTATACGGATGCCAATAAAGTTTTATCTCTAAAACGTGGTGTGAATTATTGGCAAGGTTTTTTTTCTATCCTAAAAAATCCTGCCTTTATACCATGTGATCGAAAATAAAACATCGCCATGGAAGGCATAGAAACATCTAAAAATTTGATTCTTAAGTTGTTTTGTTCAATTGAATTGAAAAATAGCTTGATATTGATCTTTTTGGTACTCTATCAATATGTTATCATTGTTTTTAGATGAATTTAACTAAATTTTTTGTTTTTCTTTACAGAAAAACATTGTACAAGCAAATGCGGACAGATCTGGCTTTGTGAGGGGTTTCCGAAAGAACCTTGGAGGCCGATGGAGGCGACTGGTTAAGAAGAAGCCCCCCACGGAGATCTACACCATACCTGCAGAGCTCAAGCCCCAACTCAAGCAAATCTACGTTTACTAGCGGTTGGAAGACTCGAAAATCAACTGCCTGTACGTGATTTCGTGGGGCCTTTCAGCTCTGTACACCGATTATTATTATATTTGCCATAGGAACAAAATGAAAAACGGGAGTAGATAAAAACGAAGTTTTCCGTAACCATGGAAAACGTGTTCGTTTTGTTATTTGCTCCCCCTGTACATTTCGACAGTATTCTGAACTACTTTTGATGTAAAGAAAAAGATGAACTATAAGAAGAAGTAAATCAATATAGGGGCCTTTTTAAAATTAGTTCTAAAAAAAGACTGATCTATCTAATAATGTTAAACGAGTTTTTTTTCTCTCTCTCTCTGTATAAAAATCAAGGAAAAATGTCTAGAAAGTCCAGCCACTCTTTTTTTTTGTTCGTCTAATTAAATAACTTTAGGAATAATGTCTGTAAATATTGAAGAGTGATAATTTTAGGGAAAAATAATAATTTTGTGATCGAGACAATTTAACTCTTTTTAGAATGCGTTTGTACGTGTTTCTTTTTTTGGGAAATTTTTCCTTTTATTTGTTACACATTTTGAAAGACTCATACATATCAAATTTGTCCATAAATTTACTCATAAAATAACTGAAAAAAGGAACACTTTCATAATATAAGTTTAAAAACTTACTTTTCTGGAAAGAAACAAAAAAAAACGCCTTCGAAAATTTTAGATTATTATTATCAAATATATTTTGACTCATATTGAGTCAGGAGTTTAGTGAAATACAATTTAAATCTCAACTCTATCTACATATTTTTTTTTCGAAAAAGTTTACTCATTTAATTACATACATAGATTGCTTTGTTATTAATTTTTTTGTTGTATAATTATGAATAACTCAAGATACAAATATCACATTGTCTCTTACTTTTTTTTGTTTATATACATAGTGCCTAGTCAGTTAAAACTAGAAGAAAAAGAAAGAAGAATAACCATATCTCAAATGATTTTTTTTATTTAGATGAGCTTAATATCTTTTATGCAAGGCAGTATTATCCTATTTAATTTATAAATAAATAAATAAATGTTTAACTTATGTTTCTGTTAGATTTAATTGTATGGACTTAGAAATAGTAGATGAATTTCCTAAATGAATCTGATATTTTTTATGTTTTTGGATGGATTGTAAATGTCACGAAAAGAAGCAATAACTATTGTATGATACGTGTAATATATTGTTATTTTTTGAAAAAATATATATTTGTTTTATTTCCCATATGAAATTAAAAATGGTAAAGCAAAAGTAAAAAATTGAAGAACAAGAATAACAAGAAACAATAAAAGAAATGAAAAAGAGTAATAAGAATAACAAAACATTACCAAAAAAATATATAAATGAATAACAGCACCGGAAAAATAAAAAAAAAAATATAAACGTGAAATATAAATATTATATCAAAGAGATTTCACAATTTCATTTCTATTTTTTTCAATTTCAGACTAAGGTGACACCTGTCTTGTTGTTGTCAACACCTTGCAGTTTATACCTTACACTTCTTAGTCAGGTTGTCAACACCTGAACAGTTCCTAGTGTGATGGGCCAGCCAAAGTTCTAAAAAACTAAACATAATAATAATACAAAAAGTTCTTACATTTATGCACTGCTTTAATAATTTTATATTGCATGGTGCACAATACATGTCATGTAATAGATAGTTCTTTCTTGAGAAAAAACTTCTGGGTTTCTAGCCATTAGAAGACAATTCAACAAAAGAAGAAAGTATTTTTTTTGTAAACACCACTACATTGGTCCAACGGAGATGAATAATTTGGCAGTGGTATTGTAATTTACTAGTAAAACAAATGTGCCTAGACAAAAAATGCACTGGATTAGAGATATACAGGGTGGTCCGAAGTCTATTCCGGAAACATGGGCGGCATATTCTGCAGATAAAAATAAGTAAAAAAGTTCGTGTAAATATATGCCCTAAAATACTTAGTTTCGGAGATACAGGGTGTATAAATTTCATTTTTATTTCGATTTTTTTCCAAATAATTTCTGCAGTAACGACAATATTTGGATGAAAATTGGTGTCTGGGAGTTTTTTGACACGAGAAATTTGATTTTGATGTCAATATGACTCCTACTGGTAGAGGGCGCCACCTACATGTGTTCTAACTGTTTTGAAGCGTAATAACTTTTTGTCCGTACCTGTATAAAACTACCTAGGGAAAAAATATACATGCCTGTGATTTTTTACGTAAAAAATATCTGTTTGTAAAAATCGCTACGAGCAAACCGTTCTCAAGATATTTAGAATGGAAATCGACGGCGTCACGACAAAAGGGCGTAAGCGCCAAAATAACGAAAATGAGATTATGGTTCCAAAATGTAATACTAATAAATGCGCACCTATCTATGAAACGGCTTAACCAGCAAAAATTCATAACGTGAGAAAAAAGACAGTTTTAGTTTCTAACCGCCAATACACCTTCAAACCAGACTCGACGCGAAAATCAGTAACCGCCATTCACACGTGTTGGAAGGTCGGTTAGGCCTGGGATGAAAAAATACCATTTTCCATTCAAAGGTACGTAGAAAAACTTATTAATAAGATAGGTCTTATTCATATTTGGTAGCCTAGATTGTTTTTTGTGCTTCAATCTAATTCAAATAGTAAACACCGACATTTATTTGTTATTGTCGGTTACGCCTTTTCGTGTTAATTAATTTGGTTTGCGTAAGCGCCATCCGCCTATGTGATCGTAATGGCATATTTTTTTGCTTTTAACAAAACTACCGTTCAACATATTTCAAAAAACTGTCAAATATCTAAATTGTATACAATATTAATTTTCAAAAAAAACCTTTGCTACAAGTCAAAGGACTTTTTCTTGATTGTAATAATTGTTTGAAATTTGGTTTTTTTGATGTCGCTTAAGCCTTTTTTATATTTTTCCTCCACAGTGTAATAATGACTTCCCGCGGGAAGAAAATCCGAGATTTGGCATTAAAATGTGGAAATCAAGGAGTTGAGGTTGGGAGCAATATCATAGATAATGATCTTCTGGCAGAAGCATTGCAGCATGATGCGCTGTTGGAGTCAGAATTATTCATGTTAGAAGAACCACCTTTTGCCACCAACGAGGAATACGGATCAAGTTGACCCGTGTTTTGCTCAGAATATTAGTTAAATTTAATTTTCCAGTTATTATTTCAAGCCTAATGAGTTTGAAAATATTGAAAGTATCAGTTTGAGTATTTTGTACTGTGTTTTCTTAAAAAAATTTAAAAATCCAAGCGACATTTTTAATTTTATTTGTAAAACTCAAAAGGCGTAAGTGCACCTAAACGACAAAAAATGACTAGAATAATAAGACACAAAAGTCTTAAACGCCTTTCAAAAAGACGTAAACGCCAATCGAGCCTAGAAAGAAAGGCGTAAGCGCCAAATATTAAAATAACTAATTAACAGTTTAATATTTTATAAGCAAAAAATTCTTGAAAAATATGCCATATAATCTATAATACTGTAGCAAAAAATAATTCACAAAAAATAAAAAATATAGATTTTAGACGTTTTTTTCGTCTCCTGAAAAAAATGATGAATGGCGCTTACGCCCTTTTGTCGTGACGCCGTCGAAATAATCAATACATGCCATTATTAACGAAAAATAAACATGTTGAGTAGATAGTTATTTCACTGAAATAATAAATTTGGGAAATTTGTATTGTTTTGAATTAATCATATTTTTTCTGCAAAAAAAAATGATGATAAAATAGTTTTTGTTGAACTTTAGGTACAATTATAGTACAAATTTATTATCTCAGTCAACTATTTAGTCAACATGTTTAATTTATGTCAGTGATGACAGGTATTGATAATTTCGATTCCAAATATCTCGAATACCATTACTCGTAGCGATTTTCACCAAGAGAACTTTTTTACGTAAAAAGCGTCGTAAATGTATATTTTTTTACTCAGTAGTTTTATACAGTCACGAACGAAAAGTTATTACTCTTCAAACAAGTTAAAAAATATGTAGGTGGCACCCTCTACTAGTAGGAGTCATATTGAAATCAAAATCAAATTTCTCATGTCAAAAAATTCCCAGAGGTCAATTTTAATCCAAATATTGACGTTACTGCACAAATTATTTGGAAAAAATCGAAATGAAAATGAAACTTCTAGACCCTGTATCTCCGAAACTAAGGATTTTTGGACATACATCTATACGAACAGTGTATAAAAAGAATTGTATTACTGTCAAAATGCCACTGATAAATACATCAATTCATTCCCCCCCGTAGTGTATACAAAAAATACCTTTTTTATTTTGTAGAATTCCCCCCTTCTGGTGAAAAACCCAGAAGTCTTTTCTAGAAATGAACCAGCCTCAAAGGTATAGATATTATTTACAGTTCCGAAGTGCTTTTTAATAAAAAAATAGACTTGTTTTTTCTTTACTTATTACTTTAAAGAATTAAAAAAAACGCGTAAAAAATATTCGAAAACAAAAACATGATAAAAAATGAAAAATACAGACTGAAATAACGAGATTTGGACATATCTCAATACTTGATTTGAATGTTATGCGGACTTATAAACACATTTAGTAATATTTATTACTTTGTTGAGAAAAAAGAGTAAACAAATAAGATATATGCGTGCCAAGACCAATTATCTGCTTGACAACCACTTAATTTGTCTGTTTTTGAAGCTTGAAATAGTATCTATACTAATGATATAGATACATGAATGGTGCCTTGCTTCAAATCTAAAAGAAATTAAAATAATTTATTGAGGTATATAGATTTGGTTACCAAAGACAATCAAAAGAAAAATATGGAAGAATTTCCATTACTTTTACTTTTTAATTTAAGGAAATTTTGGAGTTATATCACTTTTCTTTGTTAGAGTAGTAGAAGAGTAGAATGAGTGGCTGGAGGATTAATTACCAGGACTTTATCACCGGTACTCAGTGATGAGGTGTTCTGGTGTTTCCCCATTCTCCCCACGGAATATACATTCGCCGTTTTTTCTGAGCTTCAAACTACTGAGGGCAGTGTCCTGTTAAAAATCCCGTGAGGGGGAAAATCCTTGATTTTTGTTTAACTTAAGTTGAGGCAAAAGAAATTATTTTTTTATATCTATATGACTAGTCTATTTTTATACACGACTATAGTTGAAGTATCTGCTTGATAACGGGGGGTTATATAACCAACAGAAACGTTGTATTTGTGTTAAACAGAAAATAGACAGAAGTTCACCTTGGCATTTTTTTCCTTTATTTAATTAATTGTACTGAAGCTGTGGTTGGTTCCTTGTGAAACATCGTTGAAATATTAGTATTTTAATAAAGCACGCTTTTAGATGTTTCAAAAAACTTTTAATAAGAGTAACTTTAACTCTACATATATGTTTCGGCTTGTTAGGCCTTTTTCAAGAGTTTTTTATGAACTAATCGTCTAACTACACTGTAACTATATATATATATATATATATATATTTGCTATGGGGGTGGTTTCAGAGAGTTTACAATAGGGGTAATAAAAAATGTGTTTAGAAATCCTTGTTGGTCCTTAACATTATTTTCGTTTTTAACAGATTTTAGTATTTCTAACTGTTCAATGTAATAATAAAGCGTCTACCTTTTGTTTCTCTGTGTAGTAACTTAATTGAGTTTTCATTAATTTTATAATGTTGTAATGATTATTTACTATACAATGAGTTGCAAGACCAGAACTATGCTGGAGACAAA